CGATGTACACAGTGCTGGTCTGCTCCATGGGGACACAAGGTAGGGCTTTCAACCTCATCTCCTCTACACTTCACGCCAGAATCAGAGCATGTCATGCTGTATTAAAGCCACACCTTGGGAACACCTCATGCATGGCTGTCTGGTGCCTACAGAGAAAAATCAGGAGATGTTCTTTCAGCTTTCCAAAGTGTTCTCAAATCTGCTAAGAACAGTATCCGATGTGAAAACTAGACATGGGTAAAAGGAAAGCTTTTCACTGGGTGGACTGAGCAACCCCAACCCCAAAATCCTATATCCAAAATGCTCCCAGATCTAAATCTTTTTTGGCCAAGATTTCCCACAGAGGAAAACTTCACATGTGACCTCATGTGGCAGGTCCAGGTCAAAGTGCAGGTGTACTAAAAGTATAGTATGACACCACCTTCGTGCTCTGTGCACAAAGGGCACATGAAACGTGAGTGAAGGTATGGTCTCTGTGTTTACACTTGGATTCCATCCCCATGATTCCTCAGTATGAACATGGAAATATTCCAAAGTCTAAACAAATCAAGATCCAGAACCCTGCATTCCCAGATGTTCTGAATAAAGGATCTCAACTTGTATTCTTAAAAATGTGAGACAATAATTAAATTATAATTTTAATTAACTAATCTTTAATTAAAATTTTAAAATTTAGTCAAATCCACATATTTAGAAAGAAAAGTAAGATAAAGCCACACATGGACACACTGAGGTGAAACTTCAGGGCTGAGCAGAAAAGAGCCAAAGGCCCTCCGGAAACAGCAACCACATCTTCTACCAAACACAAAATGAAAACTATCACCCAACAGGACAGTTTTGTTGGCAACACTGTTGCTGAGCAATTTGCAAGTTCAGTGTCTAACACTTAATCAAAAATAACCAGCAAGCAGTTAGGTCAGACTGCACTCAGCTTCAGAGCACAGCTGTAAACTCTGGTGAAAACCAAAGCCGGCCACTACAGAAGGTGTCCGAGAGGCCACACCCAAGGAAGCGAGGTCAAGGGGATGCGTCTGTTTGGAGACAAGGCCTGAGGGTGACAGGTGGTGTTTGTGGTTATGTCCCTGCCTGGTACAGATTTAGACATCAAAAACTTGAAACCAATCTACAAGAGGCACTAGGAGACAGAGTTAGGGTAGAGAATCTTGTACCCCAAAAGCGAACCCCCCACTCCCAAGTGGAGTCCAAAAATGGGGGATGTTTTTTGAAGAAAAAGCAGCACTATTTATTTTATCCTGGGCCCAGCGACACAGTGCAGTTCGAGTTTGCAAGGCTGTGTAACTCTCTTAAACTTTCACAGACTTTTTAGGAAGAGCAATTACAAAGTGAATGGCTTATGGGCGTGGATCAGGAAATGAGAAAATCCTTGATCTGCTAAGGAATGAGGAAGACCTTTGTTTCCCTTTGCAGAGGACAGAGAAGTCTCGAAGGACTTTACAATCCTTTGTCAACTAATTTTAGCAGTTAATTTTAGATAACAGCTGTCCTTTGCAGAGGGCAGCCATGGTTAACATATCAATTAGGTCACCCAGGAAGATGGTGCATACAGAACAGTATGAAGGCACTACACTTATAGAAAATAGTTGCGTTTGCAAAAGGAATTAACAGGCAATTTGGTCATATAACTTGGGCATTGGCAAACACAACACAAACATAACGAAGCTCTTTTTGTTAGGGTATAACAGAGAAGACACCAGGAAGAGGGTTAAGGCCCAATGTCTGCGCACAGCCAGGCCCCTTATCTCCGGCTGTCTGCAAGACTTACGTGCCCGGCTGAGGCCCCATGAAGCCAACAGGAAAGGCCGCAAGCAGAAACTGAAAGGATTGGTACTATGCTGCCGTCTGGCCTTGCCGAGAGGAGTTAGCAATCCAGTGCTGAAAATACTCAGCATCTGAGGAGTTTCATAGCCTCTGACTTCAGCATAAGCCATTGAATTGAATATTTATGAGTTAACAATGGCTGTGCTCCACAACTGACTTACAAAATTCCCCAGCACTCAGCAGCTGTCTCCACTGAGTTGGCCCAGGGCTCTCTGCATCTCTGGATCCACCCAGGCTGTGCTGTCAGCCGAGCTAAGCCAGACCTGTTTCCCAGGATACACACTCACAAACTCACACTCACACTCACACACACACTCACACTCACACATAGTCACACTCACACCGTAGCTGTAATAGCCTTGGGCTGCCTGCAGAGAGCTCCACAGGTTTGGTGCAGCAGTAGAGACACAGCCCTGTAGGAAGGGCAGGGCAGGCCTCATCACCGTGGTGTCCAGAGACCCCAGCCACTGGGTCATGGAGCCACTGGCTTAGCTGTGTCCTCCTTTAGTCTCACAGTCTCCACAGGGGACTCTGGTTCCTGGGAAGGCATGGAGGGGGGTGGGTCCCAAATAAAAAGCAAGGCTTCCTTCTGCTGCTCCACCGTGCCTTCCATGTCGTCTGGGAGAGACACCAGACTCTCCCACTCTGTCCTCCCTGCTGGCTGCCTGGCTCCTGCTGCAAAGATGACCTCCTACACCTTCTTGAGGAGACAAGTCTCTGACCTCCCAAACACCCTATTTCCAACTCCACCCCCCCCCCCATCAAGCAAGTCTTTTTCAGCCACAGCTGGCAGTGTGAAGCCTGTGACTGAGCTCAGCTCTACAGCACCCCGGGTGCCTGTGTCCCTGGCTAGGTCCTGACACAGGGAACTTGGCCATCATCAGTCACTGAGGTAAAACAGGGTTCAATCAGACATTACAACATGGGACCCACCTGGACAGTACCCACGTGGAGGAAAGGGAACTGGAATGACATAGGACTTTTGCTTCCCATCCGAGACAATCTGGCCACTTCAAGCCCATCTTCCTGTGACTGCCCCTGGTGCCTCCACAGCTGTGGGTTTCCAGTCACTGTGGACTGTGGGAAGGGTCTCTCTAGGGGTGAAGCTGTGGCACTGACCTGGCAGCCACTGGGCTCCCACACACCTGTCACACCGTCTTCCTGCATAGCTCAGAGCTGGGGCTACAGGACCTTAAGAAGGCAGCAGCTTCTTAGCTGAAGCAGTGTGAGCACCCAGGGTGCATCCTCTATGGAGAGAAGCTCAGAGGTCATCAAGGAAACAGGTTCAGCCACCCACAGCATGGGGCCAGCGCTCCAGCTCCAGTGTGGTTCCCTCACCCCCACGGAGGAAGACTGAGCCCAGCTCCCTGCAGAGCTGCAGACCCCTGGGGCTGGGCTTCAGAGTCACTCAGCTGCAAAGAGATAGGCTTAAATGTAACCTGTAATTCGGCTTCCTATGCAGAAAGTCCATTTTTAAAATAAAAGTGCACATGTGGTCCAACAAAGAATTTTTTCCAGTTTGTGAATTTGTGAATGAAATTGTTAAACAAGCCTCCTGCCCTTTGAAGGAAGCTAGTGGCCTACTTGTTTGCAAGTGGTTCCCTCCTGGGGACAGAGCTGGTTGCCTGGGGCTCTGGGGACCCTGTGGACCTGCCCTCTCAGGACAGGATGCATCCACCTCCCATATCCCAGTCTCAGGCTGGTGGGGCTAAGTCCCTGCCTGTCCACCTCACGCCAGGTAGACAGAGGAAGTCCTGGCAGAAACCTCAGTGCTCAAAGTACAGAGTACAAAGCCTTCAGAGGCCTCAGGGAAGCTGGTACAATGGGGCTCTAGGGAGCAACACTGCCAGGAAACCACAGGAGAGGGCAGCCACAGGCCAGGTCCAGCTGCTTCCTGCAGGAAAACCTATGATCCGGGTGCATGCCCAGGAACACAGAGCTGATGGCCTGGCCTCACCCTGTCTCCCTAGCAACTGGCTGGGTCCATTCAGGCCATTCCCACCCCAGGTCTCCTTGGCCACACTGGGAACCCGGGGTCGTCCAGCTCCCCAGGCCTGGGGAGGAAAAGCAGGCGGCATTCCACCAATCCCAGGCTGCAGGGCCAGGTATGCCCAGGAGCTGGAGAGTGAGGACCTTGGCATGGGAGAGCCATGGCCCCGGCTCCAGGTGCTCTCCTGCTTCCTGCTCATTCCTGTCTGTCTGGGAGTCCTCACCGTTCAGCCTGCCCAAAGCTTCGAAGCTGTGTGCGCCATGCTCTTGGGCAGGATGATAGTGGGGGACACCTCCTCACCCCTCCTGCCACCCTCACACAGGTTCCCGGCCTCCCCTAGCCCTGAAAGACCTGGTGAAATCCAAGCTTCTACACGTGCCTGATCATGCGAAACTCAGTGCCGCACGATCCCACCTGAGACCAATCTCAGCTGCCTTTGAAAACTCAGAGCATCCTCTCCAGCTGTTTTCTAATCCAGTGACTGATAGCCTCCAAACAGAATTCCCAGCATCTCTGCCTGAGACTAACAGCATCAGTCTCATTTCCATCTCACAGCGGCTGCCGCCTGGAGAACTGACCCAACTTTGCTCCACTTGTGGCCTCACTGCCCGTATGTCTGCCATCAGCTTACAGCCATCCCACCAGGTTCTCACACATCGTCCACACACAGCACCCTGTTATTTCGCCTCTTGGTGGGTAGATTCATTTGTTAGAAAGCTTCCAGCAGCATGTTTGCTGCACACCTGCCACCCGGTCCCCCTTCCCAGCAGCACAAATGTCTAAGGGTGTTGCGGGGCTGGACGTGGAGTAGGTTTTTCTGTGAGCAATGGTGGCCCTTTGGGGCTGAGGTTTGGCCCTCATTTTCAAAGCTGTTGCTAATTTAATTGATGAGACTTGATGACAAAGACAGATTTCTCAATAAAAGTGATATCCAACGACTAATGTCCTTATTTGTTTCCAGAATGCTGTGAACTGCTTAGAAAGTGTCAGGTAAGCTCTAAGCACTTTGTTAGGTGCTAGGGAAATGAAGATAAACAGTAGGTGCAAAGGCTCATGGCAATAAAGTCCAGAACCAGAGAAGCACAAGTCCCTCCCCTCCCCTGGGGCGTGAAGGCAGGGGTGGAGACGCGCAGGAAGGACAGCTGGGATGAGGATGTCACCCCACATGCTCCAAAGGCACCACCCCTGGGTTCCTGGCCTTGAGCACCCACAGAGGGAGCAGGAGGGTGACCAGTTTCCTGCTTTCCTGTGAGAGTTCTGGCCACAGAGCCCAGGGTACTGTTGCATTGTCCAAGGCGGGGGACAGAGGCAAGAGACTGAGGACAGCCAGGAGGCTGCCAGGCCAAGTGCCCTGTTCTGCGACTACATGGATGCCTGAGACTGGCGACTGCAGGAAGCAGGGAAGTTCCGGGGCACAATGCTGGCATTGTCGTGGGTCTGGTCCTCGTGTGAGTGGCATGACACCCCTAAATGTGACCCAGCGCCAACAAGCAGGTCCTGCACACCCAGCAGGTGAAGCCCTGGGACACAAACCAGAGCCAGCTCCAGCCCTGGAAGGCAGGGAGGTAGAGGACTGGGAGTCAAGTCCACATGAGCAAGCAGAGCTGGCGAGGTCCTCCGTGGAAAGAGGACAAAGGAGCAGGGCCGGGGGACACCCTGGACCTCCCTACATCGGCGGTTTGCAGGCCGCCCTGGACCTCAGGAGCCATGTCTGGATGGAAATGCAGACTGGTGAGTGATGGGTATGTGGCCAGGGTGTGAGGTCCTGAAGTGGATGAAACTGCCCGGCTGTGTAGGAGGACTGGGGACGGCACTGCAGACAGAAGAAGCCAGGCAAGCGCTGCAGTAGAGGAGAGGAGCACAGTGCAGACCTTGAAGGAAGCCTCACAGCTGCCTTGCCTGGCTGCTGGCTTCACCCATGAGCTAGAAGGGGCTGACCTTGTTTCTCTCCTGTCTCAGCCACCTCCTCCTCACAGATGCCTCCAGGTCCCAGAGGGCACCCCACTGAGTGGGTGGGCAGCAGGATGCCCAGGCCTCTGCTCAGACACGACCGGGGTCTGCCGAGCCTCTGCCTCTCTCCCTTGGTCCTGTCCTCTCCTGTGACTCAGGAGGCACCGTCATTGCTGTTCTTGTTGCTTTTTGTGGTTATATTACTATTTCAGTGCAAAGCGCTTTTGTGAATGAGCTGGCAGGGTGGGGGCGGTGTGTTTGTCCCTTTGTCTCTGGTTTGCAGAGCGGCCAGAATCTCACAGCATCCTCTCAGATTGGCCTCTGTGCCTTCTCTTTCTGAAAAGTGACAATCAGTGTGCATGTTTACGTGGCACGAGGGGATGTACCGACCTGTGTACACATTGCGGAAAGATTCGGGCACACTGATTCACTTACCCATCGCCTTTTTCTTGGTGACATTAGGGTTCCATACTCTCGGTAAACTGAAATGCACAGCGTGCCCTGTGGTCTTCCTCCGACACAAATCTCCCTTTTCTTGTCTTCTGTCCCTAAGCCCTTCCAACTGGATTCCGGTCTCCTTGCTCCGGATTGAGAGCGAGGTTCTCTGGTTCCTTCTCGGGAGGCCTGAGGTGTCGGCTTGTGGAGTTCCCAGCGGCTCGCACAGCACCTCCAGACCAACTATATCAGAGAGTCCTCCACCAAATATGGAAAAGGCCTCCAGGTTCTGCTCAGCATACTGGACCCACGGTGTGGCTAGAGGCCCAGGTACTGGGATCCCAGGACCTGAGCAACCACCACTTTCTTCCTCCTCCTCCACACAGAGCAGGAGCCGCCCTGGGGCAGCTGTGGGTACACCCATCCCACGGCAGTGATGGGTACTGCTGAGCTCCCTGACACCTGCTCCCTCTGAGCAGTTGTCTGGCCTCCAACTGTGCTTGTCCAGGGTCTTCTCACTTTCCAGGCAGATCCCAGATACTTGAAGCTACTGGCCCGAGACAGTGGTGTGAGAAGCAGCAGGAAGCGGCCAAGAGAAGCACAGTAGAGGGTGCCCTCTTCGTAGCTCTGGTCGGTGACCTTGCCCCTGAGCCCCACCGGTCTACGTCCTTTAAAGGAATCTATCATATTTTATGGATCCCATGGTGTCTTCCCAGGACTGCATAGTTAAAGCAATATTTCTCACTGGAAACTGAATCTATCAACCTTTTTCCTACTGGATAATTGTTACAAAATGAAAAAGGTTTGCAGTTCAGAGATATCTGTGGTTCCCAGTACACGCTCCTCTTCTGAAAGTAAAAGTGGCCACACACTGTCTCAGGAAAACATGAGGTAAAGTAACTCATGAATTAAAATTCAAGAGCCTCTAACTGATGACAATTGTGGATGGCTTTTCCTCTTTCCGGAATAAAAGTGGTATAAAAGTTCCCAGAATTGCTTTGCTAAAACCCAGTGGAAAACTGAGAGCAGGTGTCACTGCTGCTGTGTGTCAGTGCTGCTCTGTGGTCTGCATGCTTGCTGTAAGATGATCTTCCTGGAACTCGCAGGGCCACGCAGAGGTGAGCAGGTGACGCAGGTGCATTGATGTCCAGAGTTGCAGCGCTCCCTGGGACCAGCTCTGCACTTGGCTCCTACCTGGTTCCCAGTCCTTGGGAGCCACCAACTGCAAACACCTATTCGCACACATAGCAGGGCTCCTCCTGCGTCACCCAGGTCAGGAGTGCCTGGCAGCGTGGAGAAACAGGGCAGGTGGCCGCCCCCACAGGTCACCGCAGACCCAAAACGGTTCCTGTGAGAGGAAGCAGGCCCATCCCTCAGCCACAGGTGCTGGGGGAGCGGCTCCTCTTCCCTCTTCAGCCTCCTCATGATGTTCCTCCACACTCTGCTCTTTCCCCTGACAGAGCTTTGCCAGCAAATGTGACTTCTCAGAGTCTTTGCAGTGAAAACAACAGCTATTGTTTTCTTCTCAAAGTGGACTTTGAGAAACGGCCATTTGCCCTGATGGTCAGGGGAATCGTCGCCATCCCTCCTCCACGTCCCCTAGGAGCGGCTTCTCAACAGAACCGAGGATCCTGGTGAAACGCAGGTGTTGACCTGGGGACCTGGTGGGAGCCACAAGGCCACGGTTCTCCCAGTCCTTGTGAAGTCGCCCTGCCGACCACACTCAGACTGCAGGGCCACACCAGTGGCTCTCACACCAAGCAGGGCCAGGGTCTCTATCTCCGGGGGTCTTGGTGACAAACTCAGCAGGCCCCGGCTCATTGCTCCACTTTTCACAGCCCCCGTTACCCACACTCAGCACAGCCTGAAAATATTAAATGGAACATTCCAGAAGTAATCAATACATGGGCTCTACATTGTCCCTTTCTGAGAGGCGTGATAACATTCCACCCTCACTCGCTCCACCCTGCCTAGGACACGAACTGGGTCTCTGTTCAGCCTTTGCAGGCCGTGTATGCCACCTGCCCAATGGTCACTTGATTGTCATCTCCGCGACCAGAGGAGAACGAGGCTTTCATGGTGCTTGTGTTTAGGGTCCTTTAATTGACTTCACAGTGGCCTATTTTATTGTTCTATTAACAGCTTTTCTGCCTTGTTATTAAATATTCCTGTTATTCTTGCACATGTATGATTGGCGGGTTAAACTCTATCCTGGGGGTTTTCACACATGACAAAGCACGGTCCACCGAGCTTTGGAGCCATATCCTGCTGGGGCTGCTATGCCCGGGAGCAGAGCCCACCCTGCACTGCTAATCCTGGCAGGTCAGGATGAGGTGGGCCCCGAGGCGGTGCTGAGCCTGCCGGTCTGACTTACGATGGATAAAGTTTACGGGAATTTGTGTGCTTCTTCCAAGAATTGGAAGTGGGAAAGTCATCATGCACACTGATAAAATTCAAGTTCACACAGTGGAGAAGCTTGAGACTGCGTGGCTTCTCTCCAGTGGCTGCTGTGTCTGGGGTCAGGCACTGGTGGTGGCCACTCATTTCCTCAGAGCTGTCCATTGTTAATTATTTATTCTTAGAAGCTACAGCTCCCAGGGCGCCTGGTCGTCTTTAGTCCGTCCTGGGAGTCCTAGACAGCCTGCAGAGGCTGAGCGCTCTCTCCCTTGGCAGCAGGGGGCAGCAACGCTCCCTGCCCGTTCCGGCTGCTGTGGCACTAAGAGGGCAACACAAACAGGTCAGCAAGCACCTGGTCATTGTCTGAACAAAACTGGGGGGTCTTGGGAAGAATGTGAAATTTACAACGCACCTCAATTTCCCGGAAAACAGCTGTTCCAGAGTTTAGACGCCTTAACTCTGAAAGACAGCAAGCATGCAGAAATTAAGTGCAAATTGGGCAAGAAATAAGGAATCTTAAAATCTCTGGGTCTTACCTATCTTTTTATTTAAAATGAATCTCATTTTGACCCCCTGGGAAATATTGATGAGCTGTGAATCATGTTGTACAAACAGAGCACAGCTGCAGTAAGTGACCCTTTGCCTTCCACTGGACTGGAACCTGTCAGTCCTCCGGGTCACCTGTCCTCCAGCTGCTGCTGCCTGGGGGTGGCTGGTTTTCCCCACCCTATCCCCTGGGCTGTGGGAGGAGGAAGCTCCTCCCTGTCACTCACAAGTCTCTGTGCACCTTCTCCTGCCAGCCCTGAACCTTTCCCATGCTGTCCCAAGGATCAGGCCCGGTGGACAGACCTTAGACAGCAAGCACTGAGGCCTCCCAGTCCCGCTCTGTCACCGCCTGTAAGGTGCCCTGGCACCAGATTGACCCCTAGGGGCCTGGCCTCTCCCTCACTCCCCTATGATGCCTCCACCTCCTTCCTTACCCAGAGCCTCCTGGAAGGCAGAGTTGTATTCTTCCGAGCCTCAGGGTCACCCTGCCCCTCTTCCCATTTCCAGCCAGACTCTTCCATGCCAAGTGCTCTGTGACACCTCTGGACCACACCTCAGGATGCTGGCTTCGTCCACGGCCCCTCTCTTCCTCCCGATGCTGCACAGCCACCGCGGGTCCCTGAGTCTGGGCTGCAATCCCACTCCACATGCGTTCAGTGCTACCACGCACACACCTCTGGCTGCAGAAGATGGCCTCGGGCAACCTCATTCCACCGACTGACAGCTTGGGTGAGGCTCCAGATGTGCAGCCCTCCAGCTGCAGCTCGCACCTTGCAGCCTGGTCACACACACTGTGGAGTCCAAGCAGCACTGAGTGACGCCCTGCCGCCTGCTGCTCCCCCAGGGTCAGGGAAAGGAGGGGAGACACCAGAGCTCGCCTAGCACAGCGGACCTCCGAAATTCATGGGAGTTTCATTCCGACACACACAAGTCATGAAAAACCCACATTTCAGATTTGGTCAGGAAAAATGCCCATAAATGCCTCTTTTGATAGTTTAAACCCTAAATATGTTCTGTCTCCCATAGTTAGTAATTTAACTTAATAAAATACTATTAATAAAATCTTAGAAGGTGCAGGGCATTTTGGTGGCATCTCAGGCACCTCAGAGCTTTAAGAACAAAGCCGAGAACACCCAAGACAACTGCACCGCTATGATGCAGGAGAGGGGCACATCGGCCGAGGGGGCCACAGGGCAGCAGCCAATCAGCAGCAAGGGGAACTGAACAATGCTCTCAAACTGGCTGCTTGCAAATGCCCCCCCCCCAAACTGTGAAGATTAGTTGTGGTTTCCATGAAATTGCGGAATTTCAGGGAACAATTATTAGTTAGGTTCTTAGGAAAATTCCACACAGGACTGAAGCCACCAACCCTGAACCGTGACTTCTCAGGGATCTGCTGTATACAGATGGAACCAGCGGAGCCAGCAGCCCAACCTGGACAACGGGCATCAAATACTGGCTACCGCTGCCTCGGGGACTCAGTCTGGGACAGGATGGCATGGCAGGTGGGTGAGTTACTTGCCATCGGGCAGAGGGTGTCCCTGTGCACGTGGACAGCTGGGCTGTCTATCTGGGATGGACAGGATGGATAAACAGCCCGTTGCTGGTTTGGGAGGTAAATCACAAGCTGGTATAGTCCTTACTCCCTGGTGCAGGCTCCTGGATATCGGTAGATGGTCGGGATGCACCCGTACTAATGCCTTCCGAGCCCCTCACGTGGCATGCTCAGGGCTCACTGGCTGAGGCACAGGTAGGTGCCTTGCGAGGTGCAGGACTTCCTGGACTTCCGGGTGCCCAGGTGTTCCCCTTTTCTCCTCCCCTGGCCTCTCATGGACTCTCACCACTGGGGGACCCATGTCAGATGGAGTGGGATTTGTTATTTGGGCGACTGCCCCTGCAGTGGATTCAGTTTAAAGCTACCTTCTCTGGGTGACTCTGTGGTAGAAGGTGTGTGATCCCAAATGCATGTCAAACCCTCATCCCCAATGCTACCCTGTGAAGTGGTGGGACCATTAGCAAGTGACTAGGTCATGCGAGTGTGAAGTGGTGGGACCATTAGCAAGTGACCAGGTCATGAGAGTGAGGCCCCAGGATGAGACTCATGTCCTGATGGAGAGGCCCTGAGAGACCCTCCCTGTCCAGCACCATGGACACCAGGAGCAGGTATGAGCCATGAAGTGGACAGTGGGCCCTGAGGACCACAGACCTGCTGGGCTGTCATCTAGGTCCTCCAGCTCCAGGTTGCAGGGAACGACTATGTATGTTTGGTTTGGGTTTTGGTTTTTCACTCTAGCAGGTGATGGCCCTGAAGTTCCATGAATCCCTGGGCTCTCCCAGGGCACAACTAGAAGTGTAAACACGAAGATGATCTTCAGAAACAGCTACGGCCACCACTGCTGCTTGGCTGTCCTGTGTCCTTTTCTCCAGGGTAACAGAGCCCTCAAACCATCCAGGGAGTGCTCGCTCTGGGTTGGGAGTGGGATGTCCCGGGGAGCGTGTTTACTGACTGACTTCTGTTCCCACAGTATCTTGGCACATGTTCTTTGTTTTGGTTTGCACCCTGTTACTTCTCCCAGTGATGCTTCCTGACCTCGGCCACACTCGTGGGTGACCTTGGCCAGCACAGGGCTGTGGGTTCTTCGTATTTGTGCACAAATAAGCCAGCAAATTGAACAGTGGGAAACCATACTGAACCCTGGGATGGAGAGACCACTTGAGGTGATCCCATATTTCTAGGAGTGAGAACTATAAGCCTCTTACTCCTTTCTTTTCAATGGGTAGGAGACTGTTTCAAATTTATAAACTCAAATTAAAATACATTGTTTGCCCAATTATTTTAACAAGTGTTCCGGTCTTCCACAGCATACATAACTAATCTGTTAAGATCAGAATTCTGCTGGTGAGATTTTACCAAATTTTAAACTTAGTCTATTATAGTTTGTGATTAAAGTAAATAAAAGTCTTTGACCAAATCTTTCACAAACAATAATTTTGTTCAACACAATGAGACAAATCCTGATTTCCTGATTTCTTTCCAGGAAAACATCTTAGAAACGCCGCCTGTGCTCTCAGTGATCTGGTTAGTACTAAACTTATTCTGCACCCTCTATCAGAAATGATAACCGATTTCCACCTTCTTCATATTTTTCACCTCTTGCAAGTTGAGTTCTGCTATGCTGATTAAACACTTTTGCTCCTGTACTTAGTGGTCATGGCACAGCTGACCTTTGGCAGATCTTTTAACTAAACTGACAGTGAGTGCTTGTTACTGAAAATAGTAGAACTTCAGGTTTTCTTCACTGAAAGTTTCAAAGATTTCTCTATCAAAAGCTATTTAGTCACTCTTTCCTCCTTCTGTCTTTTTACAGACATCGCTTTTATCTTATTTTCTGAAAAAACAGTATCTGACATGCACAAGTTAAAGCTAGCTCACAGCTTGTAGAAGTTCCAGTCCTCAGCGGGCTGGCTCCAGGCAGGACAGCCTTGCCGAGCGGGACAGTCCACGGCAGGGTGGGCAGGCAGCTGCGAGCCCCACTTCCTTCCCTTTTTAGTCCGCCCAGGCTACAAGCCTATTTGTTGGTGCCACCCACTCCCAAAGTGGCTCTTCTCTCTTCAGTCAGTCCATCATTCACCCCCAGAGCAATACTAAATGTTCCAGTGCGCTAAGTCAGCATCACATACCGATGGTCCAGTGCCACACACCATGACCTGGTCATTCCCAAAATCCCCATTATGAGCAGATGGGAGGTTACAGCTAGAACAAGCCATAAGAATTTTACAGTGCACTGTGGTTTGTAAGAGAATCACAGTAAATCCTGCTTCTGTTGATACCTGTCTTCACAAATTTTTCACATCAAAGGATGTATAGAAATTTATTTTCTAAAAAGAAAAATATTTTAATGAATTCAATGTATAACCTGTCTCCAACATTCTAGACTTTTGTTTTGTCTTGGGTTTATTTTCACAGCTTGCAAACATGATTTTATTTTTGTCTGGTTTATTCCACCTCAGGAGGGAAACAGCTCTGAACCTTACAGAAGGATAGGACCATGTGTCCAAGGGCCAGACCATGTCGTATTCCACATTCTGCAGGGCAGGATGAAATGAAAGCAGGAAGTGGGCAAAGCCTGCTTTGTGTGGCTGCTGCATCTCTCCATCCTCATCCTTCCCGACTCCTGCACCCTGCATCTTGCCCGTTGACAGCCGCCTTGTTAACTCAGCTGAATGGGAGCTCACCACAGCCTGCAGGCTGGCCCTCCAACCCTCCCCACGTCTAACCAAAGGCCATTCTTTAACCCTAGGAAGGGTGGCCAGCAGGGAACACAGACTGCACTTCTGGGAGCCACATGGACATGAGGACCAGGACCGCTGCCCTGTCACTGTGACATGGGGGCATATGCCCTATGCCAACACTTCTCTGCCCACAAGGGTCTCGTGTGACATGTATGAGTGTGCAGACTACAGCAGGAGCTGCTGCTCTGCTATCAGAGAGCTTGCAAACAGCATGTGTGTGTGTGTGCAAGTGTGCATGTCTGTGTCTCTTCCGGTTTTCTTTTTGTTTTAACATTAAAGGCAAGACTTAAAATGTGGGAACCATGGGAACAAAGAAAGTGTTTCCAACCCACTTCCACTGAAGCCAAGAACCCGGGGAGACTGATTCACCAAAGGCACCTGACCAGCACACGAGGCCCTGGCACCCAGGTGGCTCCCACCATTGCCCTGGGGCACCCAGCTGTGCACTGGTTGGGGTCAGAGGGCTGCAAATTGAAGGACAATGATGTGATACCCAGCAACAGCACCACACCCTGTTGTATTTGTGACATCTCAGTGACCAACCCAGAAAAGGAGGTTAGGCACCCTCATGGAGCAAGCGGTGATATCACAGTTCTCAGAACTCAGTTCCAGGTAAATTCAGGTCCAAACTACAGAAAGCGAAAAGCAAAGATTTAGAAAGCAACACAGGAAACTATTACAGAACTTAATACAGAAGAAACAGTTTCTCTGTGAAGTCTTTAAAACATATCCAGCCAGCTATAAAAAGATTACAGTGAAGCAAAAGATTGATACATTGGACACCAAAATTAGGAATTTATCATTGAAAGTTGCCACAGAGAGCCTTTTAGAATTTGTTTTTCAAATAATAACTCCTTACTGTCATATGTACATAATATAAATCCATTTTTATAAACAAGGTAATAAAAATCACACAAGATGGAAAAATGCATACCACGCCCTTTCCAAAACAAGGAGGGCACTGTAAATGGTCACTAATCACAGGGAAAGTTACTCGGCCTCAGTGCAAATCAAAAAGTGCAAAGGAAGGCATGGGGGAGGGGTCCTTCTTAGTGAGCCAAAATTCAAAGGTGTGAAAATGCCGTGCATTGCAGAAAGCAAATCTTCACTCTCAGCTGGCAGGAGTATAACTCGGTCCAACTTCTCACAGAAGGCAGAAAAATGGTGAGAGAGGACTGGAAGCATCACACACCCAATACTGTCTGACTGTGTCAATCAACTGTCCCTGAAACCAAAACCAAGGGCCAGGAAGCACACAGCAGCGGTGGGTAGCCCAGGCTCTTGGGCAGACTGAGTTGGTCTGGGGAGCCTGGCCCCACTTACAATCCAGTCTGGCACCTAATCAGAAGGTGGCTGGATCTGCCCCTGCTGCTGTCAAGCTCCTTCCAAAGGGCACGATTTCAGCAGATTTGTGCATCTGGACAGCAGGCATCGGTTCCCCAGCTCCCCCAAGGTTATTTCTGCATCAGATTGAATTCATTAGGCTGGGCTGGACTAAATTCCACCTTTTTCACTTGTTTCTCTTCAAAGCTTTCTTCACAGGTCAATGACTCTCACATTAATCTTCTCAGAGAAAAGTCACATTAACTAACCTGGAGAAGAAGTTTAACTCTTTAGAGAAGGCAGGAGCCCAGCAGCGCATCCTACCCTGAGGCTATGCCTTTGAGGTTGGGCTTTATCTGGTCAGATCAGGTCCCCAAGTCCAAATGAAAGACAGTTCTGAATTTAGCATGCTCTTTGCTAATCCCTGGTGCTGGAAAGGCCATCAAGTCACAAAGAACAAGGTGACCATGAAAGACCCGGAATGCACAATGTGAGGAGCCAGCCTGCATGAGGGGCGGGGTTGGGAAGAAAGAGAAAAGAACAGTGAAGCCCCCAGACTGCTGCAGAGGCACCGGAAACACGGGAGGGATGCAACCGAGTGTAGGTGGCAACACCCCACCATGGTGCCCACCAGCATCACAGGTGACCTGCAGCATCCTTCTCCATGAACCCACCGTTTATGGAGAAGGAATTGGAAACGCATTGCTCCGCCTAACTGGGCTGAGAACCTTGCTTCTCTCACCTTTGGGCAGCACCGCCTCTCGCAAACCCTGTTTCAGAACCAAGTGTCAGCCTTTCTGACCTGTGTTAACCAGATTTGAATGACAGCACTCAGAGATCGAGAAAATAACCCAGCACCATTCAGACCTCACTGAGCCACATCCTGGGGGCATGTGGTAAAGGGACAGACTCAGAACCATGTGACCGATAACCCTTCAGGGCCTGCAAAGTGCACACCACACATGTTGTTAAGTGTGAGCACACATACATGCACACCCAGGCAAAGATTCTGCTGGGGTAGGCTCTACAATGGCCCCAGCGCAAGCCCGGAACTGGGGACTCCGCTACCTTCACTGGGCAAGGGGACTCTGGGATGTAAATTAGGGCCTTAGGGTTAGGGTTGGGGTTAGGGTTAGGGTTAGGGTTAGGGTTAGGGTTAGGGTTAGGGTTAGAGCTAGGGTTAGAGGAGGGAAAATTAGCTGAATTATCCAGGTGTTCCCAGTGTGAGAGCAAAGGTCCTCATGGAGGGAAGGGGCAGAGAGGGTGGAGAGGCAGCTACAGCCTGGGGACAACAGCCCAGGAGGCCATGGAGGGAGGCTTTCTCCTGCTGACGCAGCTCAGCTGCACAGCCTCCCTTTGCAGTTCTGTCTCCACAACAGTTGGGCACCATACCTGTGCTGTTTTAAGCCACAGAACATTCGACAATTTGTCATAGCTCCACAGGAAGCTATTCCAGCCACTGCCAACTGTCCCCCAGTCTTTCGTGCCACTCCCTCCACCACAGTCTCTGTCGCTGGAGATGTCTGCACCCCTGGGGTTTTACAGACACGGGATCCTCACGTGTGCACCCTTTATCTCTGGCTTCTTTCATTCATTATTCAGCGATACCCCACTTAGCACGAGGAACACACTGTGAAAGGTGACCTAGATGATGTCATCCTGTGTGGAGACATAGGAGAGAGCACTTAACCAATCACGGCCTTGATGTGGGAAGGCGATAGAATCTTCTGGAACCACCATCGCATAACAGGTTTGTCCCTCATCCAACGTACTGACCTGCAACGTGTGAGGACTGTTGGTGTTGCTGTGTAAACAGGTTATGTTCACTGTGGAACATACTCGCCCATGAATCCCCTCACCAGTGAGTGGACCTTGATTAGTTGGCCAATGTCGGTTGTTTCAACCAGAGCTGCCGTGAACATCCATGAGCACCCTTGGGGTGGGTGCTTATTTGCACTCCTTCCGCTAAATTAGTTAAATGTCTCAGGGGATGTGCAGACAGCCGCACACAGGCGCAGGCAGAGCTGTGGTAGCTTACATGGGCGGACAGGGCGCGCTTCCAGAGGGAAGGGGCACCACTCGGGGCTCAGGGTTCCACCACAACAACCAGGGCTCTGAGTCCAGCCCTGCGTCCGCGGTGTGCATGCTGACTAGCATCCTGCCCTCAGCAGCTGCAGTGAGCCGTGGGCCTCTCAGGTGACAAATGCCTTGGTTCTCTCCAGAGCTGCACCCTTCTGAATGACAGTTCTCATCCTCCAAGGCTGCTGGTCCCCCAAGGGATTCCAGCATAGCAGATACTTTTGTGGGTGTGCATGTTTGAATTACAATGTATTTTATCTATTTTCCAGGATTTTTTTTTTTCAAATCCATTTTATTTCAAGGAGAAAAAAAACCTAAAACAAAATTTCAAAACACGTCAATCAGGGGCAACAATGGTCCATATACTGTGGACTGTCACCCCCAAATCATTCACTAGGGCACAAGACCTCTACATTCAATTGTCTGAACAACACCAACACAAATCTTTCTCTTCAGCAAACCCAGAAGTGCAACTGTCTTAGCTATTATTATATACATACACTTACACCTCTTTCAGCTTCTCACACTAGTGAGATAATATGATGTTTACACACGTGTGCCATATTTATTTTACTAAGTAGGATGCTCTCAAGCTGCATCCATTTCCCTGTAAAAGTCTCCAGTTTCCCCTTCCATAGAGCTGAGTAGTTCTCCATGGTATAAAAACATCACCTCTCTTTCCATTCCGCAGTTGATGGGCACCGAGCTCGTTTCCGAGATCCGTTACAAGTTGTGCTGCTATAAACATGGGTGCACATGTATCATATAACAGATACTATTAGGGAAACTTATGAAATGAAACTTCTGGTCTAAATGTGGTTTTATCCAGCGTGTGTGGGCTTTGGAATAAGGCTGAAATCAGTGGGCTGTGGACCATGGCAACCAGGAATATGGGGGCCTTGATTTATTTTTAAAATAAGCAGCCTTAAATTTTGGCCCCCTGTGGAATGTGGCCTCGAGAGTTCCTGTGTGGGGACCCTGCAGGGCTGAGACCCCACGTGTGGGTATAATGGCTGTAAACGTGTTACACACCGAGCTCTTTGTCTCTTTAACTGTAACCGGGAAGGCTTGTAGTTTCAATCCTCTGCGTCCCTCAGGCCCACTAGTGCCTAATGACCTCCCCACAGCAGGGCTGAAAGGTAGATCACGTATACACCTAAAATCTTCAAAAGCAGCCACTTTTCCTAACGTGGCTTTACGGTTACCTCCCACCACAGTACAGGAGCCTGGACCAGCAGTGGGCGTGGCCAGACCACTCTGGTCCCTCCTCTCCGGGAGGGAGGTGTTGGCATCTCTTTGGGGTTTAATTTGCAATTCCCTGAGGACTGGAGGTGCTTCCAGTGCCTATCTCCCAGTCCCCTCTTTTGGCCAATGTCTGTTCAGACCTTTTCTTTACTGTTTGTTCGGGTGTTTTCTTTTCATTGAGTGTCCAGGGTCTCTGCTCATTCAACAGTCACGAACTGGGCAGGAGCCACAGCAGGCACCGGTGCCCATCAGTGGACCTGCAGACAGACAGAGCTGGTCCCCAGGGATGACAATGCAGTGGGGCACTTTTCAGGGGCATGGGAAGACTGCGTGAGACACTGACAGCACGGAGCGTTTTGTCAGATGCTGAAGTACAGTGTTCTTTCTGCTTCTGCCTAGCTCCCTCTCTGAACACTTTTCCTGCAAGCCCGCCTCCCACACGAGGAGAGGCCACGGACTACCTCTTATACTCCAGGAAACATCTCCGGGACAGTGGCACTAACCTACGGGGCCAAGCAGGGTTCTCTGGGGCTCCACTCCTTACCCCTATCTCCCCTGGAGGTGGCTGCAGCAGATACAGTCCCCACCCCCCCAGCTCTCAATAGCAGATTCGTACATGAAGGAGACAGTGCTGTTATTGGGGTCACTAAGTTTGGGGGTGCTGTGCTATGCAACCATGGATGACCAAAGCAGCACCCCAACAGGGAACAGCTCCAGGCCATGTAATCAGGTATAGGTTTGCTGTGCTGAACGGCCTGTCCTGCAGCAGATGGGTATGTTTATTTCAGCATGCCACTTGTATTTAAATTGTAACGTGTACAAGTTTCAGCTAAAAGTATGCCCTTCTCATTGTACAGACATTTGCCCCAGAAACTGAAGGTACTCATTTTGCATTCAATGGTCAGAGTTCCAGCACTGAAAATGACCTTAGCTTTGGGGGGCTACATTTTACAGCACAGAAACCAGCAGCCAGCACTCCTCTGCTTATTCTGGAAATAACCAGGGAAATAAAGATAGCCATTCCTGC